CACGGTACCGATCCGGGAGAGAGCCCGCGCGCTGTGAAGGCCGTGGTTTCTCCATCGACCCGTCGGTACCGATCCCGGAGAAACCACGCCGCTGTGAAGGCGCTCTCCATCGACTCCGTCATCCGCCACCGTTGCGCTGCGCGCGCTCCTCCAGAGCGCCGCCGCCGCGCGCGCCTCCCAGAGCGCGCCGGCGCGTCCGTTCCGCGCTGTCACGCCGCCGCCGCGCGCTTCGTGGCGTCGCGGCTGCCCAGAGCGCCACCACCATGCGCGCCTCCTCCGAGCGCCGCCGGCGCGTCGCGCGCCGTTCGGCCGCCACCACGCTTCGTGGGCACGGCAGCGCCGCCATCTACGCCGCTTCGCGCTCATGGCCGCCCTCCCTCTCTAGCGACTCGAGGTCCGTCGGCGCGGTGTCGTCAACGGAAATGGAGTCGCTGCCGTCTTTGCGCGTGAAACCTCGACCTCACCGCGCGCGCAGACGCGCCGCATTCGCCGCCGCCGCATTGCCGCCTCCGCTCTGGTTGCTTTGCTAGCTCGCTTGCTGCCGACCTCGGCGCGCTTGCCGCCGCCGGTGTTGTCTCTCTGCGCCGCTTCGCTCGTTCTCTGCGCGCGGCAAGTTCGGACCTCCTCGCCGACGCCCGCGTGCTCGAGGCGATCGAAGGCCGAGATCGCCTGCGGACATGACGCGCGCTCTGGGGGCTGCTGCGTGGGGAGAGGGCTGCTTGACGAGTGCTTTGCTAGTCTGTGTGAGAGGGGAGAGAGAGAGGGGCGGTGGGAGGAGTTGTTGATGCCAACAGTGAAATTTGTTATGGGGCTAGGAGGGAGATGAGCGAGGAGATGCTCAAAGCTCTGAGGATAGTACTGGCTCGGATACCGGTTGTTAGTCGTTGAACTCACTCTCGGTAGTAGCAGAGATCTTACTCTCATCGAGAGAGGATGACACTAGGAGTTGGGGCAATTTTCTGGTTTATTTCTCACACAAACTCACACAAATACCATGCCAACCTGAGGGGTTGGGGATACACATTTATAGGCTGCTAGCCAGCCAAGCATATGCCAAGATGCTAGTCTAAGATGCTAGTCTAAGATACTAATATGTTGTCCTCTAAGATGCCTCTAAGATGTTTGTCCTAAGATCTTTGTCTAAGTCTTTGTCCAATCAAGAGATCTTTGCAAAGGTCTTGATGTCGATCCCATCTTCTTTGCCCCGGTCTCTGTCCATCAAGATGTCATTGTCCGATCAAAGATGTCAGCAAGCAAAGACCAAACCCACAAAGACTGGACCAGCCAACACAACACAGAGACTTATCCATCAAAACAGAATCCAATGCATTTAATGTAACCACAAAATTTATGTTGAAGTATTTGAGAGGACACAACAGCTATCTCCATAATGATTTCTTCCAGGTCTAGAAGTGACATAAATTTAAGTGAGTTAAGAATCTTAAAGGGAGCCTCCAACATCACTTCAAAATTATTGAGACTAAGTAACCCTAGCTATAGTTCATACGACTAAATTTTTTGTTAGGCCCCTAGCTATAACATTAAGCATAGTGCTTGTTACAGTTAAATAAATGCTTATGAACCTGCTAGCAGTAAAGTTTTACTAAGTACAGCAAATTTTCCTTCAGCAGTTATATGCAAGAGGAGCCCTTTAAACTATTGTCTCATTTGATTTTATGTTCGTTCGAAACTTGGACAAAATAATGGAGATTCCCGTTGTGTACTCTCAAACACTCCAAGAGAAACATTGGGTTTAAAACTGCAGTGGATTGTTTGTACCCCAGCTGATGACTTAAGAGAAACATGGACGTATACTCTTCTTCACAAGCTCAAATATGCGTGAACCCATGAAACTGAGATCTTGGATCAGCAAGTAATTTTTCCCTAACTCAACCGGATGATATCAAATAACAATTAGTTAGTCTAAAAAGATGAAAACCATGTATTGCAATTCACAAGCATATTGATTTGACCAAATATCCAAACAGACACAATAAACCACCACACTGCACCATGACAATGTCAGAGTATTTGAGATGACACAACAGTGATCTCCATCAGAAGCGGTGCAGTGTGTTTGCTTTGGTTGGGTCGTTTCATCTTTTGTCACAGGCGAGTCGGATTGTTAGTAGCATGGCTTTTGTGGTGTTAGTGTGTGTGTTTGTAAGGGCTCTTCCCCTTTTTTCTTCTTAATATAATGATACGCAGCTCTCCTGTGTGTTTGAGAAAAAAAAATTCTACCAAGTGTAGCATTGAGACAAAACCAAATGAGACTTAAGGGTCCAACATCTCTTTGAGAACTGAAACTAAGCTAGTGTGAGCAGTAATTCATAATGCTAACATCTTTTTATACTTTATTGAATGAAACAACAGTGAGATATCCTCCTAGTATCTATCTAAAGATGTGATGTTATTTGCATCCACATCCTGCATCTTGATTTTAAAAGCTTAAAAATGATTCTACATGTGATTTAATTGGATTTTGATACAGGAAAAAGGGAAGATCAGACATGCCCTTTACAAAGATCAAGAGACATTAAATAAAAGTTTATGAAAAATGTTTTCTTGTTCACTTTCAGTCTTAATAAGTATGGCAAATGATTATTCAACTTTGAAACATTCTCGGTGAGATGCAAAAGCCTTTGCAACCTACACTTGATGGACAAAATTATGGAGATCTTTGTTGTGTACTAACACTCCAAGAGGAAAATTGGATAGTTCTAGGTGCATAACAGCCTGGAGTCTCAGTTTCATCTCCCTCTTTTGTGCAAGCCTAACAGGAATTTCAAAACCTCCAAGGTTACATACAGACAATCCAAGTACAGCAGGACTCAACTACAACTGTGTTCTCTACACTAACAATGTGGAGGAAACTGTTTTTCATTTGTTCTTCAGCTGCCCTTTCATCAGTAAAGAGTGTTGGCAGTACTTGGGTATTCAATGGAACAATGGAAATGAACTCTTTCAGATGCTATTATAGGCAAAGCAACACTTTCAGAGCCCTTTTTTCATGGAAATCTTCATCATCGCAGCCTGGCAAATTTGGAAGCGAAGAAATGACTTCATCTTTGATAGAGGGCGTCCCTCCTTTAGTTCCTGGAAGAGGTTGTTCACTGAGGAATCTAAACTGCAAGCTCTGAGATTCAGTGACGCTAAATGGCCGGCTTTCTCTCTTTGTATAGACTCCCTAGCTTAGTTTCTTCTCCAGTTCTCCCTCTGTCTTACTTAGACTTGTTGCTCTTTCTCTTCTGGTGGCTGTTTGTATGTTGTACAGGCTTGTCCTTTCTTATCTTCTTTTTTAATAAAAAAAAAGTCTCTTAAAGTGGGGGTTTCCCCTGCTGTATTCTCGCTCAAAAAAAAAAGGATTCTTTGCAACACAATGGAGTTATGACTTAGGGTCTGTTTGGATCCCTGCTCTAAACTTTAGAGCTAAAGTCTCCAAACAGGTGGTCTAAAGTTAGCTCTAAATTGCCCACCTCATATTAGAGCTTTAGATCTCAAAACTGAGTTAAAGTGCTCTAAGTTTTTAGAACTCTAAAGTTTAGAAGAGGGGATCCAAGAGAAAAATGGATGAATAGTCTTCTTGAGTAGTTCAAATCTTTAAGTGGGCATTGAAATTGATGGCAAGTACTTCATTTCCTAGATCGCTCAATTGGAATATATGCTACAGCATACAAGGGCCTGTTTGGATTCCCTTGTCTAAACTTTAGAGCTCTAAAAACTTTAGAGCACTTTAGATCACTTTTGAGGTCTAAAACTCTAATGTGAGGTGGGCTAAAGTTTAGAGCTAACTTTAGACCACCTGTTTGGAGACTTTAGCTCTAAAGTTTAGAGCAGCGGATCCAAACAGGCCCTTAATTTAATTGTACAAAAAATGACACCAATTTATCTTATGCATGTATTGCTATTCACAAGTATATTCATTAGACCAGATATCCAATCAAGTCCAGTTCTACTTCTAATTAAATCACTACAAACTACAATCAGACTGAGAGCCCGCCTGCTGTTTTCCGCGCCCTCCCGCGCGCGCGATTCCTTCCCTCTTCCCGCCCGCGCCGCACGCTTCCCTGCTCACGAGCCGCGCGTTTTCCACCGCGTAGCTCCGTTTTTTGACCGATTCCGCACCGTTTAATCGTTGCCGCGCGTGTAAACGAGCGCCTAGGCGCGCCCAGCGTCAAATTGAGCGTCTACCCCCTAAACGCAACGCTGGGCCAACATTCAGCGTTTAAACTAGATTAAACGACGTTTAATAACGTTTTTTTGAACATGGCAATCAGTTTGGTGATTGTGGCAGTAAATCAAAATTAATTGAAAATGTAGTATTGAGTGGTGTTACCATGTCTCATTATCCATGGCACATTGGAGCAAATAAGCATGTGGTTTTCTTTACTATTTGCAAGTACATATTGGTATTGTTCTTCATTGTGTCATCCATGCTCTACAAAGTCACAATTATTTCTTGGACCATGACCTTTCCCAAATCGTCTACCTCCGCCCTGCCCACCCACCCCCCCCCCACACACACACAACACAACTTTTTTTCTGGCCATGATTCTGCCTGTCTAACGTTTTTTGAAATATTGTAATTTAGTCACTAAAGTTTTTATGCCATTCCAATTTCCTAAGGGGGAAAAAACAAGCCTGTTGAGCTTGCCTAAGGCCGACAAATTCAAACAGAACAAATGGGTTATGCTCAGAGCTAGAATTAAGTGCTCCGTCACTGTCCTGTTTCTTAAATAACACCCTACAAGATACAGGCACTTATGAATATGATCTCTCACAGCTTAACTCAAATAAGAACTTTATGCAGCATAAGGTTATTGTTGAATTTGCTATTCTGCCTATAAAATCTTACCTGGCCTGCTCTTGTCTATATTATCACGTGCTCTTTTCTAACAATTTAGCTTCAAAAATCTCCAAATAAGCCGATACACCATTCATAAATCGAACACATCACAGGTAACAATATCCTGACGTGAGTGAGATTTCTGGGCACTCACCAGCTCCTCGCAGAGCTCCTTAAGCGGCCGCCGGAATGCAGCATGGTCGGGGAAATCAGCGAACCTGTAGAACGACACCACCACCAGCGACGGGGCCTCGCCATCCAGGACCCCGTCCCCCACTGCCACCGCAAAGTTCCGTCCCACCGGCGGTAGGAGGGCGCGCGCGACCGTGCACTCCTGCGGCATGTGGCCGAAGCGGCGGCGCGGTACGAGAGTGCTCGGGGAAGAGGGGTAGGAGGATAGAGAGCGTACTGGGAGGAGGAGCCGATGGACGGCGCCACTCGCGGCAGCTGTGGCGGCGCGGCGGGCGGCGGCGAGCGGTGGAGCTGGTAGCATCTGCTCTTCGGGTGGGGGAGGAGCCCTAAAGTAGTTTTTTTGTTTTGTTTTTTTTTAGCGGAAACCCTAAAGGCTAAAGTAGATGGATTAACGAATCAGGGCTTAGCCTCAATATATATATCTTTATAGCCTGAAGTTGGCTTACTTGAGTTTTTGGTTTTGCCTTTTGGCCCTAAAAGCTAAAAGCCCAATCAAAGAGGCTGTTTTTTTAGGCTGTTTTTTCAGAAGCAGTTGCTTTTTTGTAGTATATTTTTGAAAGCTGGTTTGACCATGCTTTTGACTTTTGGCTTTCTATTTTTCGAAATTGATGAAATAAAAAGCTCTTCCATAGTTGTTTCAAGAGAGATAAAGATAGAAGGTATATTTTATACTTATTTAACCAAACAACTTTCAGCTTTTCTACAGCTCATAGCCCATAGCAGCTTTCTCACAGCTCACAGCCCACAACAGCTTTTTCCCACAGCCACAGCTCAACCAAACACACCCTTAATTCCTTTGAGCTTCCCTTTAGTTAGTTTTCCGGTAAGCTAATATGGGCGCAGGTCTAGTAAACGTTCAATCAGAATCCCCATCAGACTCTCGTTTGTGGGCTGGGATGGGAGCCAATCCTAGCCTAAACTAGGATCTCTATACGCATTTCGAGAAAATAAGATGGGGCTACTTCACTTTCTAATTAATAAAGTAGGAGGTATTCGAGTACGGAGGTACTAGACCGTGATTCTGGTCCTGATGCGAACACACTTGTCGACAACAAAGAAGGGATTCAATTGAGAGCGGATAGCAAGATCGAATGAATGGTAAAGATTTGATTTTCTAGTTGTATACCACGTCATTAGATGAACGATATGAGGCAGTTGCCAATTGCACTCTTGTTGCTTGTAAAAGTGAATTCAAATCGAGAGTTTTAACAATTGGGACATAGCCGAGATACGCTAAGGTTGAGGCAAGCTATTCATCATTAATAGGAAAGATCCCAAAGTTGTTATTGCTAACATGGGATAGCCTGACTCTACGCTACTATCTCTATTTTCTTATGATATTGAATCTGGCTTCTATTATTCAATCTCTAGTTACCGTGGGAAAAGAAAGAGACAAGAGCTCTTAGTCCAACAAGACAAGAGAGGATATGCCTCCAAAAGCTTCTTCAATAGCAGTGGATTGAATTCATCTGCACACTGATAATTCAACAAAAACAAGAGGAAAGAGAGCAGTGGATGATTTAACACTAAGCCAATCTTGAACAACAGAGGGTTCAAGCTTACTACTTCTACCTAGTTGCTTACCCGTGAGTTGAGCCTATCTTGACTGACTTATCACACAACCACATGCTTATTCCTATTCAAACACATATACCGGTAAACCTATTTCTTGCATTACTTAGTAGCTAGCTTTGGTAGCCCTGATCTATGTCTAAAAAACAGATGCCTATTCTTGGTCACGACCAGCTAAAGATCACTGGCCATAATGTGATTTTTTTCCTCGGATTCATTGGAACCCTCCTCGTGAAAATGGTTCCTGTAAAGCAAGCTAAGAGCGGGGAAGGAACTAGGGCGGACATAAGCTCACCAATTAGGATGCGTGATTGATTTCTTTAATAGGTATGAAATGAAGATGCCCAAAAATTTGCCAATTTACATCCAGGTCTTATCTACTTAGTTGTGGGCATTGCCCCCTGAAATAGAACTTTTCGGGTCAGATACCCCCCTGCTTTTGCTATGGGGCTGGCGGGTTCACTCCTTGCCATGAATAGGGCTGGCTCCTTCCTCGAGATAGATAGAAGCCAAGCCCACTACGCGGTGTGAACTCCTAAAGAAGAGACTGAACTTACTTCCGTTTGGTTCTGAGACTAATTTTTAGTGCACGTCTAGGATGATTGGACACTAATTTGAAATATTAAATATAAACTAATTAAAAAACTAATTACATAGATAGAGACTAATTTACGAGACGAATCTATTAAGCCTAATTAGTTTATGATTTGACAATATGGTGCTATAGTAAACATGTGCCAATGATGGATTAATTGGGCTTAATAGATTCGTCTCGCAAATTAGGCTCTATCTGTGCAATTAGTTTAATAATTAACTCATGTTTAGTCCTAATTAGCATCCAAACGCCAAACACCTCTTTTAGTCCCCTACCCTGTTTGGATGGAGGGACTAAAGGCCATTAACCCTACCGTACAAAGACAAATGTCTCTCCCTTCTATTCTTTTTCTCTCTCTTTTCTCTGTCCCCCGCCGCTCCCACCACCACCAAGTAGTAGCCAACACCGGGCGTAGCACTAGGAGCAGCTAAGAGAAAGAGCACTAGGAGTGGAAGAGGCAGTAGGCGCTCACTCCCCAAACGCCGTCCGCGCTCGCCTACGTCACGCGCATCCATCGTGCCTACCTCCGACGTCCACACTAGCCTCCATCGCCCCATTCGGCGAGAGAGAGAAATGAGAGAGAGGAGAGAGAAACGAGAGGGAAAAGGGGCATTAAAGAGGGGGGAGGGGGTGTCTTTTTGGTGGTTTAGTGCCCTTTAGTCACCCCAAGGGGATAATGAACTAAACCCTTTAGTCACCCATTTAGTCCCTCTATTTGGAATTTTAGGGACTAAAAGGAGTGACTAAACTTTAGTCCTATGGAACCAAACAGGCCCTACCATTTTTGTTTTGCCAATTAAGACGTAATAGATTGTGTGATTAGATTTAGGTTAGATAGTCGTACTATTAAGAGGGGTGATCTCATGGTTAATACGGTTATCTAGTGCCACTAGGTGAATTAACTCCATGCATTTGCATTAGGACCTAGTGAGTGCTAACAACCCTTGAAAATGTTTGAGAAAAATGCTAACTCACCTAAATAAGTGATGGAGCTTGTTTGAGTTAACATGTTTGCACAAGGATTGGAGTATTGGAAGTGAGAAGGAAGAGCCTGGGTGCATCGGACGATGATTGCGCATGCATTGGACAAAAGGTCTTAGAGTCCGATGGCTAACCCTAGGTGCTCGATGGGCAAAAGAGTGCATCAGAGATGTCACTATAGACATCGGACAAACACATTGTCTGGTCTGATGTGTTTTGGGCACTCTCTGTTTGCCAAAATAATTCTTCGGACGTTGAGGTTGCATCAGACAAAGGGCATAGGACAATATGTTTGTGTCAGATGTGTTTTGAGTAGGCTCGGGGTAGTTCTAGGCTTGCATCGAAAGATGTTGCTCGAGCTACATTGGACAATGTTTCTCAACGTCCAATGTGACTGGGACGCATCCGATGTAGGTAGCATGCTCTTTGCTTAAGCGCATCGGACGCTGGCGCTGTTGTGTTTGATGCAGCATCGGACGATGACGCGTGTAGGTGACCGTTGGCAACAACGGTCACATTCAAACGATCAAGTGACGATGCGGCGACACGTGGCACATCGGACGCTGGGGCAATGTCCGATGCCCTGGCTTAGCATTCGATGCCCACGTAGAGGGCCCAGTGAAGGGGCCAACAGCTCTTTGAACTTTGGGGGCTCTATAAATAGAGCTTGGCCAGGGTTTGCTCACTCTTTTGGCTCTCTAACCTGTTGATACACCTTGTGAGCATACTCCCACACCTCCGACTCATCTAGCTCTTGATTTGTTCATCCAAAGTGAGATTGGGAGTGATCCAAGTGCATTTGCATTGAATTTGAGCACCTCGTGGCACTTGAGACCGTGTTGGCTACGTGATTGCTTGTTACTCTTGGTGGTTGCCACCACCTAGATGGCTTGGAGCAGCGGGATCGTTGAGCGGAGGGTGGTGCTTGTCTCTAGCTCCGATCGTGATGATTGTGAGGGGTTCTTGTGCCTTCCCCGCGGGAGATTCATCAAAGGCAACTCTAGTAGATTGCTCATGACTTTGTGTACCCTCATCTTGTTGTGGTTCTTATGGCGCCCTTGTGTAGGGCTAGGCTTGTTATGCCTATTAGCGCATGAGCCACCAAGTGAGTGTGTTGTCACAACGTGGACTAAGTTGCCGGCAAGCAACCAACCACGGGATAAATCTTGTGTCTCATTGTCTATTGGATTTCACAATTGGACACTTGGCCTGTTCGGTATAGCCATTCTATCATTTGTATTTACATTCCTAGCATATATCTTGTGATAGTATTTGCTCGCCTTGTTAAATTGTGGTAGCTAGTTGAGTAGCTTAGTTGATATCCTTTGTAACTAGCTTGTTCTCTAGTTCACTAGTGGTAGATGTAGTGACTTAGGTAAATAGCTTGTGTGACATACATAGAGATCATAGCAAAATAGCAAATTGGTAGGTGGCTTGCCTTTTCTAGTAGAGCTAGAGCAAAACCGCATTATCACCATTTAGTTGTCTAACCAAATTGCTCTAGTGTTTTTGTAGAATTTTTAATCAGGCTATAAACCCCCCTCTAGCCATTTAGGACCTTTTCAAGAAGTTGGTCTCAATGATGATGGCGGAAGCTTCGAGGGCGAAGATGAAGGATGGTGAGGTGGAGAAGAAAGGAGATGTCTTGGCGAAGGAAGATCAAGGGGACTTATCGAAGGTCAAGTGGATGGTGGCGGCAAGCTTGTTGTCGTCTAAAAACTTCAGCGAGTAGTCCTTGATCTCGACCATGAAGGTTGCTTGGAACACGGCTCAAGAAAGCGTCTTTCCTATCTATTGGAAAGAACCTTTTCCTGGTCTAGGCATTCTGCTTGGGTGATTGGAAGCGGAAAGCCCTAGTTTAGTTTTGGATAATTGATGAAACCTAGGACTAACCTTTGATCTAAGTGTATGATTTAGATGAGATAGTCCAATCCAAGTGGTGAAGCTAGATGATGGTCATGGTGAAGGTGATGGCCACAAAAGAGATGATCAAGTCCTTCACAATTGGAAAAAAAGAAAGAGAAAAACAAAAATGGGCTCAAGGCAAAGGTATAATGATCGGAGCTATTTTTGGTTTGCACTCAAGACATCATAGAGGGTATGAGTGATTTAGGATCGATAGTCGTACTATAAAGAGGGAAAATATTTGGCTA